TTTTCGATATCAATTTGATGCATGGATGGATTTGATGAAGCACTATACATACAGGGTGATTAATTACAATGGAAAAATCGAAAGCTGAAGATACTACACGTGAAATGATGACCATTGGCGCAAACATGCCTTATCCAAAAGTTGATAGTTTCGGAAATACAGGGTGTTGAAAGTTAAAATTTTAAATCGTTTTTTGCGATTAGTCTGAAAATATGTAGGTTAGGAACTTGAAAATTTGTGGAAGTATATTTTTTTAAGCGAGGAATAAGATGCGTGTTGCAATTTCAGCGTTGCTCTACTTACGACCAATTTTACTGAAAATTTAGTTAATAACTTTTTACACTGTATAATAATAATAATAAATAAAAGTTTATTCCTTCTAAAAAATATTACAATTTTTGTAGAAAGAGGTTCTGCACTATGTATACGTAACAGAAAAAAAAAAGAAGAGAAAAGAAAAAAAAACAGAACGGCTTACATACATAAAAAAAACTAATAAAAAAATATCGCCAGGAACAATATTTAAGCATGAATACATTATGCAAACATATTAAATTAAGAACAGTTCACTCATTTAGAACAAAAGAACGAAGTCTCAAAAAATCTCTCATAAAACCTGCCAACATTCTAGCATTACTCAGAGTTAAACCATCAAGCATAATGATAAACGAGTTAAGTGTTAAATTTCTGAGTTCTGGAGGTCTTAGACCGGTATAAAGAGGACATTCTATAAAAATATGCTCAATAGTTTCCAGTCTGTGTTGGTTGCATAATGTACATAATTCAGATGGATTGATAGAGTAGGAGATGCCATTAAATGTAAACTTCATGCAAAATTTATTACAAAGACGGAGTTGTGAGATAAGTCTAATAATATATATAGGTAATTGAAACCTCAGATAAGATGCGGTGTCCCCTGTCATATTGAAATTTCTATACAAAACAGGGGAAGAAGACATCATAACTAGAGCTAGGTCTTTCCGATAAATCATTTCCTTATATTTATGCAATATGGCAGGCATATGTCTCTTTAGTCGAGAATATGTCGAGTTGTTCAGAACGTCCGCATAATCTGTACTGTCTAGCATCTGTCTGACTTGATGAGCCCAGTTGTACCGAGCGCCGTCATTGAGAAGTTGTAATTGCCTGACGAAACACATATGCGCATAACGATTGGTTTCCATTGCCAAAAGTTTGTTAAATCGATTTTTCTCGAAAACGTATCGAGATACCGAAATGAAACAAGAGTACATAATTAATGGAAAATGATTACTCTTTCAGCTTTTGAATCAAGTTTCATGTTAGATATACAGGGTAAAAAGTTATTAACTAACGTTTCGGTAAAATTGGTCGTAAGTGGCGCCCTCTATGAGCACCTCTGAAATTGCAACAAGCATCTTATTCCTCCTTAAAAAAATATACTTCCACAAATTTTCAAGTTCCTAACCCACACATTTTTAGAATAATCGCAAAAAACGATTTAAAATTTTAACTTTCAACATCCTGTATTTCCGAAACTATCAACTTTCGGATAAGGCATGTTTGCGCCAATGGTCACCATTTCACGTGTAGTATCTTCAGCTTTCGATTTTCCCATTGTTAATTAATCACCCTGTATATAAAATTGTATTTTGAACAAAATAGGCTATACCTATATTTTATATTTATTAGTCCACGTAATAATATTTCAAATTAAAAAAGTAAAATCTTGTAAATGGTTAATTTTTGGAATAAAGTAAAATACATCTTTTTCTTAAAAATATCATTAGGAATAACATTCACTTATTTAATTCCTAAAATCAGTGACATCGAAATTCTGAGGTTACCTTACGGTATATTCGCCATTAGTTGACATAATTTATAAATTATTTCACGTCACTTGATTCTTGATTTTAATTCGACAAATTATTGATCCAAGTTTCATCAATCATCAGAGATATTTGAATAAAATATAATACGTTCTTTAAACTTGGACACCTTGTATTTAGGAAACTAAACATTTCCAGTTCATATTTGTGAGATCTATCATCAGATAAATTTTGGCTGTGCAATTCGGATCATCCTGGATATGGCATACAATATACATCCAGGAATATTTTGAAAAATTCGATAGCGGTGCTAATTTTAGTCTGTACATAGCTTTAGTATTAATGTTAATGTATTTCATATACATATTTTTTCGTGAAATCCCAATAAGTTCCTGAGCTGCTTTTTGAAATGAAACGAAATATATTTTTGTGTACTAAGTGACCCAGAACTGATGGTAGACCACCACTACAGAAAAACGAAAAGATCAAATAGGAAATCGCAAGCGGAGATCTTAGTGAGTTTACCGCTCCAAGGACCGTTATGTCATAGAAATCATTGTTCCTCAATTTCTCACTTATTTTTTTATATGAAAGTTTTTCTCAACAACTTTTATTAAAAAAACTCTTTCTAATGAGAAAAACACTTATTCGATCAAGTCTGTTAATGATTCTTTTAGCGTTACATTTATATTCATTATTAATATAAATCACTTATTTCTACAAGATGCGTTCCAACGTAAACAGGACTTTTTAAAAATAAGAACAACAGAAAGTTTTTTTTATTCAAAATAGTCCCCTTTCGACTGAATTCAGCGATTTGTACGGTCTGTCTAAAGCATGTCAAATGAGTGTTTTTAGGAAGTTGGTATAAGTCTTTTGGATACATTTTTTCGAAAAGGCAAAAGTCGCACGGTGTCAAACCAGGCAAGTTCGAGGAGTGGTTGACAGTTAAAATGCGATTTTTAGTCGAAAAAATTGGTCTCAAGTGTCGATCAATGGACGATTATCGTACAACAAACGCCAACTTCCTTCTGCGCGATATTCTGGCCGAATACGACGAATACTATGCACCAAACGTTTCAAAACACCAAGATAGAATTGTACATTAACAGTTTGGTCCAGTGGAATGAACTCGTGAACAATGCCCTTGGAACCGTAAAAGCGAATCAAGATTGTCTTAATTTTTTACTTTTCTAAACGAGATTTTTTGAGTTTTGGTTCGTCTGGCGCCTTCCACTCGGCGGTTTGGCGCTTGGTTTCTGGATCATATTGGAAACAACATGTTTTATCACGTTATAATGTTGTAAAGGAAGTTTTTGTCATATTTGTCCTCCTTGCTGATGTCCTTCGAATGTTGAATTCTGAGCAATTTTTGGTCGTCAGTCAATTTGTGCGGAACAAACCGTGCACACACGGTAGCCCAATAATGTTCAGCCAAAATGCGATAAACTGATGTTTTCGAGATGCTCAATTCCAATTCCATGAATTTCAACGAAGATTTTGGCTGATGAATTCACGCATAGTTTTGATGGAATCTGCGGTGATCACGGCTTTCGCTAGGTCAACATGTTGCTCATCATTTATGTCCTCACGACCGTTTTTAAACTGCGTATACCACTAACGAACTCTGCTATGATTTAAACAGTCATCACCATAAACTTGGTCCGTCAATTGAAACACTTCGGTATAGTCTTTCCGAAATCAGTTGAACATGTATAAAAAAGCCGATCAATAAAATTTAAAGACTTTCATAAGCGTCCCTGAAAAAATTTTCTATTAAATGTAAAAAATTATAATAATTTGTATATAATGTGTCTATTATATGTTCATTTGACCAACAACATATTTTAATTATGTCCTCAAACAATTTTATTATATTGATGGTAAATTTCGTTTTGTTCCATTTCAAAAGGTCTCCAAAATGCCATGTTATAATAATATGTATTAGTAAACCAAATATCCCTCTTATTTATCCCTTTCGCTGTTGTAATATAATGATAAATAATGATTAATAGATGGTGCCTATAATAAATTAAATTATCTGAATCACACCAAATTCCGCAATGCTGCACTGCACTGCCAGGCCACGTAGCACATCCATTCTTCTACTGGGTGTATAGATTTCTACCATGAGCACGTTTAGTTCGACCAGACTTGTATATGGGTATGGCTAAATAAATATGGGAACAAGTTTTTCAAATATTTCAATGCCGAATTGCTGCATCAGCGACCGAACCTGGTACATACTGTCATCCTCTTGGTTCTTCAATTGATATCGGAAAGACTATAAGTTTTACCAAGTTTAAAACAAAACTTAATATTTGCACTTTGTTCGATGCTCATTTTTGTACCGATGACTTACTCAAACATACTGTCACTTCAGACGCAATAAATCTGCTTCTATTCGTCCAAATGTCATGAAATTTTGACAGTACATTAGTGAAGGATCTACTTTTCCGACGCATGTAACTGCCAATAGATGGCCTCACTAGAAATACCTAGTTTTGCAAAGTTCTGTTTACTTTGGAACACACCTTGTATAGAGCGGTACTGCTAATTTCGAATCTTTTCGAGCTTTCTCAACTTTACTTTTTCATTATACTATTTTTTTTAACAAATATAAATTTGCACAGAAATACTTAAAACATGTTAGCAATGAGTATGGACACTGAAAGAATCATGTTTCCTACGGCAACCCTGACCGGACATACTTGATTTGATAATGTTTATAGTAGTTTTGCTGATACTTAAAGTACCCATCACAGTTTTTCGGGTTGTTATGCCTATGTATGTACTTGGTCGATGTCAGAGACTTTACTTTGCATTAGCCTTAGCTGAGCTGCCCTATATTGATTTCGGTTCTTTTTATTAACCTCAGATAATGGTGGTCCTCTTAGATATAGGACCTCTGTAACTGGTCGCTCCCAATGCTTCCAAGAAGTGATAATTTTAATATCTCTGTACATATCGTCTTACATCTAATATTTTTGAAATTGGGAAACTGAGTTCGATGACGTCACATGCCTTAGGAAGATAAATTTACCACGATGTAATTTGTAAGTCCATTGCTTATAACATCATGATAGAAAGATTCGCGCTTCTAATTCACTATTTTCCCCATTCGTTGTCCCGTACGATGGTCAACCTTCAGTTCTGGAAGGAGCATCTGAATGAATTGTTAATATTTTCCAGTTGTACTCGGATCGATCATTTTCCTATTCCACCTATCAGGCTGCTCTATTTCATAACCTGAAAGGGCATAAAGACATATGGTTTTATAATTTCAATTACACCGGTCAATACTCCTATGGGGATGTGTTTGCAGCCACTAATGAAAATATTAACTATGACTGGGGTAAGCACATTAAATTATTCTGAAGGTGACGCTTTTAGTAGCTTTATATTTATCGTGAATTGTGATTTCACAACCGCTTCTACTTTCTTTAAGGTACACAAGGCGGTTAACAATGTAATACACAGTAGAATAGAAAAATCTGTTTTAGGTGTCAGTCACTGTGATGACTTATTATACCTTTTTAATTCATCCGCACTGTTTCCGATAGTTGACAATAATAATGATAAAGTGATGATAAAAACAATGACAGATTTATGGACCAACTTTGCGATATACGGGTAAGTACATGGTATTATGATGAGTGTTCAGTTACTAATCAACCAAACGATTAGTAATAGTAGTGCTGAAAATTAAACCGGTTTTATTTTGATAATAAAGTGTGTGACCCATACCATTTTTAGGGGATGATTTCTAGGCCCATGAAGAAAAAATTGCGAAAACGTTTGCGACATATACCATTTGTAAAATTTTTTTCGTACCATCTGACGGATACAAACAACCGTTTTTTAATTTTTTTTGAAAATCTCAATTTTCATAAAGTTACGTCATAAAATTTGAAAAATAAAATGTTAGTATCATATTCTAATTTAACTGGGTATGACTACAAATTTAATTTTGTCAGAAATTGAAAAACAGCTGTTTGTATCTATCAGTAGTTGATTATAAAAAAATGTTATTCAGAGATATGTGCAACCGTTTTCGAGATCTCAGGGTCGGCAATCAGTTTTAATTTTTTAATTCACAAATTCCAATCAAAATTTCCTTATCATTTCATTTTGTAACCTCAAAAGTTCTTCGAGATTCATAGATAGTTTTAGAGAGTTTGTCACTGTTTCGTCCCTATTTTTTTATCCGTAATGTTTTTCTAAAAATTCACTCTAGGCTATTATTAAGATATTTTTAATTTCTCGAAATCGAACAGTATTCAAGAAATTCAGTTTTACATACATATGAAAAAGTATTTGTAAAATTTTATATCATCATTTGCATGTACTTTGAAATATAACACACTTCTAACAATTTTTATAAAACTGTTCATTAGTTGTGTTATTTCTAGACATTTATTTCCACAGAATTGCAAGAGAATATTTGAAAAAAAATCAGTAAATTATCTATTTGTGCAAATTTTAAATTTGTTCAAACAACAGTACAACTAAAGAACTTCTTTTATGTCAATTAAATTATACAAATGTATCATAAATTCTTATGCATACTGTATACTTGAATTTTTTGAAAACCGAAACTAAACAAAAATAGGTACCTTCATCCTCTAATGGTCTAAAGATAAATATTTAAAAAAGCTAAAAATTAGGGTAAAAGAAGGTGGAGGAGAAATAAAGGCAATCAACCCATAAAACTACCCATTACGCAAAACGTGGGATTTCATTTGTACTGCATGAAGTCCCAAGTCTAAAACATGATATCTCAAAGAACTCTAAGGTATCGTAAAAATTTGATATTTACGATTCCTTGTTAAAGGGGTACGAACGAGGATAGTTCCTGAAGTATATGACCTAGCGTATAAATGGCCGTTGTTGTTTGAAAAAATTACCATGGTAGAAAGTACCAACTTTATAAAGCTTAAGTTTGAAGATGCTATGTTGTTTAGTATTTGATTGGCAGCCGTCAATAGTGAACGCTCTCAGTGAAACATGGATAAAAATTGGTCATTTATGTGTCCATTTGAAAGGTCTGCTCTGTAGGACTCTGCTCTTTCATTTACAAAAATAAAATATTGGATGGCAGAGTTTAAACGAGGCCTTACAAGCTGCCAAGACGTACATCGCATATTAACTGAAAATTTAGACATGAGAAAGCTGTGCGAAAAACGAGTGCCACATTTGCGCACAATGGAACAGGAACACCGTCACGTCGTGAGTAGTTTCAATTGAGTGTCTGGCGATGTTTCACAGCAATAAAGCCGAGTTTTTACTGCGTCGATTCATAATTAATGTTGAAACATGGAAAGAAAGAGTCAAAACAATGAACCGATAAAGAAGAATCGACTTCAAAGAAGGCGAAGACATTTCCATCTGCAGCCAAGGTCATGGCGTCAGTTTTTTAGGATTCGCGTGGGATAATTTTCATTGATTATGTTCAAAATGGAAATACAATCAACGGCGAGTATTATGCGAACTTATTGCGGCGTTTAGTTGATGAAATCAAGAAATAACGGCTGTATTTAGGAAAAAATATCGTGTTGTTTCATCTACACATCCGTTATCGCGGTGGCCAAAATCAATTCGAATTGCTTTCTCACGCACCTTATTCGCCAGATTTAGCCCCCTCGGATTAGTTGCTCTTAACAAACTTGAAAAATTGGCTCGGTAGTCAAAGACTTCACAACAATGAAGAGGTGGAGTCTGCGGTTATTGATGGCTATTTTTAAGGAGTTTGACGGTTCTCAGTATAAACAGGGTATCGAAGCCATTGAACATCGCTGGGAAAAGTGTATCGAACTAAAAAGAGACTATGTTGAAAAATAAAGATATTTTTTCTCAATTTGTTTTTGATTTTCTTTGATAGATCGGATACTTTGGGACTACCCTCGTATATCTCCTTTATTGTCAATTTTCAGGAAATAGAGTAAATATACAAAAAGCAGCCCTAATTTTATTATGTATCTGCCCTGAAAATATCGGAAGACCATCCTGTATATTCATTATTGGATTTTTTAAAATAATTAAAACTATGTTAATGTATATTTTTTGTAGCCATCCAACGCCAATCAACAGTTTAACGACCAACTGGCAAAAACTGAATAATATCAGATACGGAACATTAGAAAAAGAAATATATTATATGAATATCAATGGTAGCTATAAAGACACAAACCCTCCCACACTGAACATGAGAAAAGGATTTTACAAAGAAAGGTTTAAATTTTGGGAGGAGATACCGCTGGCAGAAAACATAGAGGAGCTGGATCAAATCCACATTGAAATGTAAACATAGAGAAAATGACTAAAGTTTAGTGACTAAGAAAACAATTAAAATTAATTTTTATATAGAATTATGATTTTCCTTTTCCCCATGTTAAACTAGATCGCTTGTGTCAGGAGAAAGTGAATTCTTACAGCACGGCGTGACTATAAATAGAAAACTATAAACGCAACATCAATTTGAAGATAGCAAATGCTAGAAAAATACAGGGCGGTACTTCCTTATTTATAATCTAACATTTTGGCTCATATTGACATCTCCCATAAAGTCGAATTTCTCTAAACCTATTAGTTTGTCAACTGAAGCAAACAGAGAAAAGCATAAGTAGGTACAAGCATATCAAACGATAAATTTTCATTTCAGACATAAGACACTTTTCTGAAAATATTCATTAAATATATGATTTATACAGTGTGTATCAGCCAAATGGAATAAATTCAATAATAAATAAATGGGGGCCTGTTCAAAAAACGCTCAGACACGTCGATTGGTATTTTTAGATGCACATTTTTTTCAACAAAAACTTTTTATACAGGGTTTCATATTTTAAATGTAACACCCTGTATATTATTCAATTTTTGCCTTCTTCAGAAAATTCTAGACATATTTCATGTACAATGTCCTATACATATCCTCAACTGTTTTGGAAATATTAAGTGTGTTCAGTTTTTTGCATTTTGCAATAAAAAAAGAAATTATTTGATTACAGAAATTCGCTATAACACACTCAAAAACTAAAAAGTTTATTTATTGATAATGTAAAAAACCAAAAAAACATTAATGTCAATATAGGAGATGTTCAAAATGCTCGCCGTGAACGTCTTGGCAACATCCTAATCTTAAATAGTTTCTTCTTACGTTACTCAACATCTCAGGCGTGACCGATCTAATCGCAAGCGTTATTCGTCTTCTTAAGTCAGCGAAGTCGGGGGGGTTTCGTTTTGTATACAATACATTTGACATATCCCTATAAGAAAAAGTCTAATGTTGTCAGATCAGGGGATCCATCAGGCCATTCCATCGATTCTCGCCCCCCTATCCACCGATTTGAAAATATTCGGTTGAGGTACTGCCGGACATTGATTTGGTAATGGGGCGGTGCTCCATCTTGCTGAAACCATATCATATTCGCTGGAACTTGTGGGTTTGCTGGATCAGGACATAAATTTGTCAAAGTTGGCACGATATTATTTTGGAGCAGTGCTAAATAATTATCGCCATTCAAATTGCCATCAATAAAAAAGGGACCTATGATATGATCTGCAACAATTCCTGCAATTCCTGCCCAAACATTAACCTTTTCGGGTATTGCGTATGTTCTTCTGTAATCCAGTGAGGATTTTCCCTAGACCAATAGCGGAAATTTTGACGATTAGTATGACCGTGAAGTGTAAAGGTGCACTCATCAGGCAACAAAACATGTTCTAATTGGATTACATTGTTATCTAACATTGCCATAATTTGTTCACAAAAATACGTTCTCTTATCAAAATCGTCTTCCATGAGCTCCTGAGTTAGTTTCATTGTATAGGGATACATTTTATTTTATTTTAATATTCGAATAATCGATGAATGGCTAACATCGAACATTGCAGCTGCTCTTCAAGTAAAAGTACGTGAGTTTTACTCAAACTCAGGCAGCTGCTTTTTTTTATCTGCCTTACATGTCCAAGTTCGCGAAACTGCTTTTCTATTTTACTTGGGATATAGGCGGCAAATCTGGAAATCTTTCATGAAATAAGCGAGCAACTTCCATTTGTGTCTGTGTGTTATCTCCATAACCAATCATCTGTAGAATTGTTATTTTGTGCATGTCTGTTAAATGAACCATTTTTCTGATATGCAGTTAACGAAATTCAAACGACTATAACCAGAGAGTTGATATAGTGTTCTCTGCTATAACACTGACAACTACTGTCATGCAGGCAGACAACACGTTGCTAAGGCCAGGCATTTTAAACAAAAGTAAACAAAACTGTTTATAGTTTTTTTTATTTCATATCAGTAAATATGCTGAAATGGTTTTTGCTTACTTTCTCATCATTAAGAGCTAAATGGGGAGAAGTATTGAGCGTGTTGTAGCGAATTTCTGTAATCAGATAATTTTCTTTTTTTAATGTTAATTTTTGCAATAAATCTGAAAACACTTAATATTTCCGAAACAGTTGAAGATAGGTATAGGACATTGTATATGAAATATGTCTAGAATTTTCTGAAGAATCCAAAAATTGAATAATATACAAGATGTTGCATTTAAAATAAGAAAGTTGGTATTGACCACTGTTACATGACACACCTTGCACAAAAAGTTTTTGTTGAAAAAAATGTGCAACTAAAAATACCAATCGACGTGTCCGAGCGTTTTTCGAACACGCCCCATTTATTTATTATTGAATTTATTCTATTTGGCTGATATCTATCTATATCTAAAACATTGCAACAAAATTTAATTTTTTTTTTTTTAAGTAAAAATAAAGTTTTTTTTGAGGAGCTGTATTTATGTGAGACATTTCTGAAAATATTAAAATTAAAATTTTCTAAATCATAGTCGCAGCTCGTCTTGCACGCGACAGCAAATTCCTATATCCTGCTCTTTTGAATCATGCTTCAGTAAATAAACAGAATACAAATACTTTTTAGAAACCAAGTACATATTACCTCACACACACACACATACACAATTTTTTGTCTTGTAAATTTCATTGTATGGTTAGTATTTGGGTTTATTAATTAATGATACATTGTTTGGGTCTAGATTTTATGTAACATAGGTATAACTCATAAAACATCATCTTAATTCAATTTCCAGATATTACGAAATTTAAATTATAGTTTGACATGCACAGTACACAATACCTTTGAAAACAAAAGCATGTACAGGGTACTCTATTCATTGGTACACGCCATTAACATAGTATATGATGTATAAGTCACATGAAGGTCAGATATTTATTAATAAATAAACCCTAATAGTAATACTACTAACAGGCTTACGATTTAGCAATGCGATCAGGTGGATCTAGTTTGCGACAAGCCAGGCTTCTCATAAAGGGCATATGGACAAAAGTTGATTTGCTCAGTAGAAGGATTGCCACAAGATTTCTAATGGGTCATGGCCATCTAATCAAGCACCTAAACATAACTGGTCTGACTGTCAGAGCCATCGCCAGTTGGAGGTTTGCGGACACGAAAACTTGCTCTCTCACTTGCATTTCTCTCATCTCAGGACATCGCAGAGAGACTCCAATAGAGCTAGTTATTATCTTCGCACATAGTAACGGTCTGTTTTAAAAACACTTATTACCGGCATGCATAATTCCACAATAACAAATAGTTAGATGTTTTGTTTTCAAAGTACTCTTTTAAAACTTGATAATTTCGTATTTTGATAAAAACAGTAAACCAAACCATATAGTATAAACATTATTGTAAACAGTAAAATAAGCAGAATTTAAAAAATGCGACAATGCAATATCGCGTATATAAAAACAAATTTGCAAGTGGTTTCTCCGTCTTGGTAGACGCTACAGGTAATAACACTGTATACTTAAATTTACCATAAAGAAGTGTGCTAGCAATGTCTGAGTTTAAAAAAACTGCCTGTTTCCGTTTTCAATTAAATTTACCATAAAGAAGTGTGCTAGCAGTGTCCGAGTTTAAAAAATCTACCTATTTCCGTGTTTAGATAAAAAATTGAAAATTCAAATTAAAATTTTCAGTTTTCAGTAAATTCAAATTAAATTTTTCAGTTTTTCGTCAATATGTAACTTCAAAACGAAAAAATATTGGTCAAATTTCTCTTTGGTATGTAATTTGTCGTCAAATTTCACAACTTCTTCCTAATTAGATAACCAAGATCTCAATGATGCGTCTCGAAAAACACTCGGTGTAGCTATATGTAACTATGGCTTCAAATTATGTTTAGTAGTGCATTTGTTTTTTATTTTGGTCCTGTCTCCAACCTCATCCTTTTTTTAATTTAGATAAAAAGAAGAGGCTGAAACGTTGTTATCACTTTCACTTTAACTGGGCTACTAACATTATATAGGGCGTCCTAATATTTCGTGTACATTGAGCTAAGTGTCACAATTTCCTGCGATCATAATAAGCAGAATTACCCAAATTTACCTCTATACTAAGTTGCTTCGTTTAGCCACTAGATGAAATCAAATATGAGAAAGAAATGTTGTTTTTTTTTTCAAATATCTTTGAAACGCCTGTATGATTTTATTAATGTTTTGTACCTACACTAACTTCCGTAAGGATATCACTTTATAGTAAACTAACTGGATTAACAGAACTGCAAAAATTTTCAGCATGAAAGTAGTGGTTAACGTCAATGCAATCTTCAATAATAATGATCAAAATACGTTATCATGAAAATGGGATGCACTGTACTCAGAACTGACATCATTTATGGTGCCATACATACATTTTTTTTACAAAACTTAGATATCTTCTTTCATCCTGGTATAATGAGGTAAGACATAACATGTTTCTTATAAGCATAGATAAGGCACGATGAAGTATTAGATGATTGTTAAAACTTATGTACACACATATGATGTCTCAAGACGAAATGCTATGAAGATTCTTGTCTTCTACCATAGGTGATTACCGAAGTGTGACTTCGCGGCTCTCAAAATCTTTCATTTAGGAGAAACGCCTCAGTTCTTTACTTCACTGCATTGTTGTTGTTTCTTTTTAGTGGGTCGTGTGAGTAATAATTAGTGTAAAAGTTTTTCAGCTAAAGGAAAACGTTTATTTTATCGCTCTACAGTACAAGATACATCAATCGCAGTAGTTACAGGTAAAAATATATTATTTTGGATATAACAATATTGTTATCCATAAGTTACACTAAATGTATTATTTCGTTAAATGCAGAGAACGTGAAAATTGTACTTACACGAATTTCTCTTTTACTTCATTAGTACTAGAAAAAAAGGTCATTTAATTTTTTTATAAATTGTATAAAGAGTTATAGACAGTATCATATTAAATTATATAATTTGAAATTAAAGGAATGTCACATCTATT